AAATAAGTATACACGATATGATGTAGGGCGAAATGACAGTAGTTTGTTGGATTATGTATTGGTAGATAAAAGACTGTTGAGTAGACTTCAGGATGTACATGTTTATAGAGGGGCCACAGATATATCAGATCACTTTCTAGTTGTAGCTACACTGAGAGTAAAAGGTAGATGGGATACAAGGAGAATAGAAGCATCAGGGAAGAGAGAGGTGAAGGTTTATAAACTAAAAGAGGAGGCAGTTAGGGTAAGATATAAACAGCTATTGGAGGATAGATGGGCTAATGAGAGCATAGGCAATGGGGTCGAAGAGGTATGGGGTAGGTTTAAAAATGTAGTGTTAGAGTGTTCAGCAGAAGTTTGTGGTTACAGGAAAGTGGGTGCGGGAGGGAAGAGGAGCGATTGGTGGAATGATGATGTAAAGAGAGTAGTAAGGGAGAAAAAGTTAGCATATGAGAAGTTTTTACAAAGTAGAAGTGATGCAAGGAGGGAAGAGTATATGGAGAAAAAGAGAGAAGTTAAGAGAGTGGTGAAGCAATGTAAAAAGAGAGCAAATGAGAGAGTGGGTGAGATGTTATCAACAAATTTTGTTGAAAATAAGAAAAAGTTTTGGAGTGAGATTAACAAGTTAAGAAAGCCTAGAGAACAAATGGATTTGTCAGTTAAAAATAGGAGAGGAGAGTTATTAAATGGAGAGTTAGAGGTATTGGGAAGATGGAAGGAATATTTTGAGGAATTGTTAAATGTTGATGAAGATAGGGAGGCTGTGATTTCGTGTATAGGGCAAGGAGGAATAACATCTTGTAGGAGTGAGGAAGAGCCAGTTGTGAGTGTGGGGGAAGTTCGTGAGGCAGTAGGTAAAATGAAAGGGGGTAAGGCAGCCGGGATTGATGGGAATAAAGATAGAAATGTTAAAAGCAGGTGGGGATATAGTTTTGGAGTGGTTGGTGCAATTATTTAATAAATGTATGGAAGAAGGTAAGGTACCTAGGGATTGGCAGAGAGCATGCATAGTTCCTTTGTATAAAGGCAAAGGGGATAAAAGAGAGTGCAAAAATTATAGGGGGATAAGTCTGTTGAGTGTACCTGGTAAAGTGTATGGTAGAGTTATAATTGAAAGAATTAAGAGTAAGACGGAGAATAGGATAGCAGATGAACAAGGAGGCTTTAGGAAAGGTAGGGGGTGTGTGGACCAGGTGTTTACAGTGAAACATATAAGTGAACAGTATTTAGATAAGGCTAAAGAGGTCTTTGTGGCATTTATGGATTTGGAAAAGGCGTATGACAGGGTGGATAGGGGGGCAATGTGGCAGATGTTGCAAGTGTATGGTGTAGGAGGTAGGTTACTGAAAGCAGTGAAGAGTTTTTACGAGGATAGTGAGGCTCAAGTTAGAGTATGTAGGAAAGAGGGAAATTTTTTCCCAGTAAAAGTAGGCCTTAGACAAGGATGTGTGATGTCACCGTGGTTGTTTAATATATTTATAGATGGGGTTGTAAGAGAAGTAAATGCGAGGGTCTTGGCAAGAGGCGTGGAGTTAAAAGATAAAGAATCACACACAAAGTGGGAGTTGTCACAGCTGCTCTTTGCTGATGACACTGTGCTCTTGGGAGATTCTGAAGAGAAGTTGCAGAGATTGGTGGATGAATTTGGTAGGGTGTGCAAAAGAAGAAAATTAAGGTGAATACAGGAAAGAGTAAGGTTATGAGGATAACAAAAAGATTAGGTGAAGAAAGATTGAATATCAGATTGGAGGGAGAGAGTATGGAGGAGGTGAACGTATTCAGATATTTGGGAGTGGACGTGTCAGCAGATGGGTCTATGAAAGATGAGGTGAATCATAGAATTGATGAGGGAAAAAGAGTGAGTGGTGCACTTAGGAGTCTGTGGAGACAAAGAACTTTGTCCTTGGAGGCAAAGAGGGGAATGTATGAGAGTATAGTTTTACCAACGCTCTTATATGGGTGTGAAGCGTGGGTGATGAATGTTGCAGCGAGGAGAAGGCTGGAGGCAGTGGAGATGTCATGTCTGAGGGCAATGTGTGGTGTGAATATAATGCAGAGAATTCGTAGTTTGGAAGTTAGGAGGAGGTGCGGGATTACCAAAACTGTTGTCCAGAGGGCTGAGGAAGGGTTGTTGAGGTGGTTCGGACATGTAGAGAGAATGGAGCGAAACAGAATGACTTCAAGAGTGTATCAGTCTGTAGTGGAAGGAAGGCGGGGTAGGGGTCGGCCTAGGAAGGGTTGGAGGGAGGGGGTAAAGGAGGTTTTGTGTGCGAGGGGCTTGGACTTCCAGCAGGCATGCGTGAGCGTGTTTGATAGGAGTGAATGGAGACAAATGGTTTTTAATACTTGACGTGCTGTTGGAGTGTGAGCAAAGTAACATTTATGAAGGGATTCAGGGAAACCGGCAGGCCGGACTTGAGTCCTGGAGATGGGAAGTACAGTGCCTGCACTCTGAAGGAGGGGTGTTAATGTTGCAGTTTAAAAACTGTAGTGTAAAGCACCCTTCTGGCAAGACAGTGATGGAGTGAATGATGGTGAAAGTTTTTCTTTTTCGGGCCACCCTGCCTTGGTGGGAATCGGCCGGTGTGATAATAAAAAAAAAAAATGATTTAGGTACGTATAGATCTACATAAACGTCACTGGCCTCTATCACGTAGATCTACATGAGCAACTTCTCACCATTTTGGAGACAGAGTACAGCTTGTCTTTCGTCTCTTTTTATTAATATGACCTTGCATCTGTTTAGGATGAATTCCAACAGCCACTTGGATCATGTCTGTAACCTGTTCAGGTTTGCATAGAGTCTGTCCTGTCCTGTTTTAGTCTTTCTCATTGTTTTTACGTCATCAGTACACAAAAGACCAGGACTCGGTACTGTACAATATTACAAACAATATACATGTACTGTACTGTACTGTACTGTACAGTACTGTACAATATTACAAACAATATACAGTGGTACCTTGAGTTTCGAACAGCTCCCAACTTGAACAATTATTTAAGTGTATTTTTGTAAGTGCTTTTGTAAGTGTATTTTTGGGGGTCTGAAAAGGAGTAATCTAATTTACATTATTCCTTATGGGAACAAATTTGTTCAGTATTGGCACTCGAACAGTCTTCTGGAACGAATTAAGTTCGTAACTTGAGGTACCACTGTATATTTTTACATGATACACAATATGTCTGTATACTTTTTTAACTCAAATTGTGTAAAAGTATCTCTAAATTTTGAAGAAAAAGATTATGTTATTCAAAAAGAATATTGTCCTTTATGTTAGAACCAATAGTAAGAAGAAAAAGTAACAAAATATGGAGGATATGAAAGAAATGCAATATATAACTTACCATTTGTCTAAACAATGGCAAGGTAATATAACAAAAACATTTCAACTTTATAAAATACATGTAAATGTACGCACTGTTAATCATGTAAATCTCAGTAAAATCAAATAAAAATTAAGGCATTACTAATTATAGCTAGAGATAACAAATCAGACATGGAGCACAAATCAGTACCTTGATCTTTATTGATGAAAGTCGAGAAGCTCAAGCAAGTAATGATCCACCACAAGCACTCATGGTATGGTACCATATGCAAACAGGTCAACATACTTACTGATGTGCAACCAAGCAAGGAAACAAAAATATAGTAATTTTGAATCATGCTCAGAATGAAAGCTGTTAATGCTAAGAGTGCATTGTCTTGACAGTGGGTGCCAGGCAGGTGGGCTACTAAGATCTTTCCTTGAGTTATGAGCAAACATGGAAGAAATTGTCTTACCTGATCAAAGAAAGGTCTGCTTTAATACAATAAAAGATCTCAGCAACAAAAAAAACTTTTTTACTCCTAATAATAAGCAAACATTTCTACTTTCACAGCAGCCATATATAGGAACTTAACCATAATTCTAACATTTATGCTATGGTTAACTACTGCATGCTTCTTCAAACCTTAGTACATACATAAGCAGAAGAGTTGTTAACAGTAACAGATAGCTAATCTCGCAAGACAATAAATGCAACATAATATAAGCCTGCTGTAAGACAAATTAGATTTTGCTTTTTTACTGTAAATTCAAAATATATCTTTTAGACATTTAGTAGACTATATCAATTAGAGTTGAAGAACATGTAAAGCACTATCGCTTGTCTTACCTGGAAGACAACCACTAAGATTATACTTTAGTAAAACCATGAAATTACACACTTAAGGTCTACAGCACTTATAAAGTATCAACTGAATAATACAGCATTTATTATTTAATCAATACTGTAATTACTTTTCCTGAACTCCTACAAAACTGCAGGCCACTGTCTCACAATTCAAAGTATTAATAACTTGCAAAATAATTTACCCTATAATGCAGTACAACACAACTTCAGACTTTCTATAATCTTCATCAATTAGGACTCTTGAAGCCTAATAATTTATATGTATCAGAAATCTACTTTAAATTTATTTCCATACTACCAGCATGTGAAGCTAATATCTTAGATATATTATGTTCGTTATTTGTAAGTTTCTCTGATGAGATCTGAAGCTTTTTTTTCTTATTTGTCTTCATATTGTATTTTATACATGTGAATTATTTTGTAAGTCTTCTGTCAACTACACACTTTTGCTATTATGCAATGCATTAATTAATGATAACAATATTTCTTACTACAAGATTTATGTAGATTTAATCATCAACATTATACCTGGAGTCCAGAACCTCCCATTTCTACATAATTCATCATGTTACTACATATATACAGCACAGTACTGCATTAAGATGAAGCTAAAAGTATGAAATTGTATTGTACTGTATGAAGGAAAAAATTACTTCACAGGAAAGTTTAAGATTTCCAGCTTAAAAAGTGGTATGCTGAAGAGGGGCATCAGACTCTAGCAGGGCATCTTAATCTTGAGAGAAGGCAATGTGAGCAAAGAGCCAGGGACTGACAAACCAATCCAAGAGGGACAGCACGCTACGCACACTACGGGGGTCACCGCTTACCCATTCCACTCCCGTTGGCAATCTCCATACCTGGAAAACACACTTCCAGTCATGCTTGGGGTACCTTGATTGAATTAACTGACTGAGGTATGAATTCTATATTAGCACTTACATAACTATTATTTAAGTATAAAAAATGGTTTAAAAGTTCCCATTTATTTACACCTGCATGCAGTGCCAAAAAGGTGCTATTCCAGAATTTGAACCTATTTAAGATGGGTTTAAATATGGACAGTAAGTACATTCTTAAGTAATCAGACCCGAAGAAAGTTGTCATTCTTCCTGGCTACAAAAAAAATGCGTAAGGCTCTACATGCCCACATTTCACTGCAGCATATATAAGCTATAAAACAAAGTCTTATGATGCTCTAGAAGTGCCTTCTAAACTTACTGTATCTCGGAAAGAAAATTAGTTCCTAAAAAAATAAAAAATAAAATAAAATAAAAAAATAAAAAAAAGAGTAACTGAGTGAAACTTATCAATGTTAACCTGAAAACTGGAGTGCTGATGTAGTATTAAAATACACACAAATGGCTACACCTATGTATTTCTTCATCAGTTGCCCATAGTCTACAGAAGCAACATCAATTTTATATGTGCAGTACTGCAGCACAGAAATGCTAGGGTTAACACAGGTTAAACATAATATGAAGGTGATAAAGAATAAATAGGATCACTTCCTATTGTAAAAACTTGTTGATTCCTTTAGCTATTTCAAGGACATTCATAAGACAAAAAAAAAAAAAATGCTTTAAATACTACCTTAAGTTTTCATTAGATTGATAATCACCATCACCAAATTATAATATACAGTATAAATGTGATAAAAATTAATTTTCTTCCCTATCTGTACAGTATATTTTGGAAAGAACCAAAACAAACAATTCACTTACCAATTATATCGAGCAACAAATGTGCAAAATACCAGGTATACTTTGTTATGTTCAGAAACACGTACAGTAACAGATGTGCATTATACACATAATGGTTCTAAACTTAATAATGGATGACTGTAAACAGTATGTAGCAAGTTAATAAACTCACACAAATGTCGGATACCCTATACTGTGATGTTACAAGAACATAGTAATTTATTAATTTAGAAAATAGTGTACTGTACAGCATTTACTGTGTATGTGTACAGTGCTCACTAGCAATATCTACCAAACTTGTATCTAAAAATAAACACTTAATATTGCATAGAAAACTAAGGACTGAGCCTCTCTCAGTCCTTGCACTGAATGAACCACAATGGTTCAACTCTTCATAGAAAATAACTAATTCAAATTCCACAATTCTTTAACAGCTAACAGTACTGTGACCTTTACTCTCTACAGTACAGGTGCTCCTCAACTTACAATGGTTTGACTTAAAATATTTTGACTCTATGATAGTGCAAAAAGAATTACTTTAGAGATGAAACTTAAGATAATTACCCAGCATGACAGCAGCAAGTCCATAACTTGTATTCAATTCTTTACTTTTCAATACTGGTATTTAGTCACAGTAATTATTAAGAACATAAGAAAGAAGGAACACTGCAGCAGGCCTATTGACCCATGCAAAGCAGGTCCATGCCCCCCCCTGGGATTAGCCCAATGACCCACCTAGTCAGGTCACTTCTGACCCCCCCATGCAAAGCAGGTCCATGTCCCTCCCCCCCAGATTAGCCCAATGACCCACCTAGTCAGGTCACTTCCACTTAAGGAAGAAGCAACACATCAGACCTAGTAGCACAAGCTAGTCAGGACCAACTCACAACCACCCACACCCAATCATGTAGTTATCTAACCTATTTTTAAAACTACACAATGTTTTTGCCTGAATAACTGTACTCGGGAGTTTGTTCCACTCATCCACAACTCTATTACCAAACCAGTGCTTTCCTATATCCTTCCTGAATCTGAATTTTTCCAACTTGAAACTATTGTTGCGAGTCCTGTCTTGGCTGAAATTTTTTCAGCACGCTATTTACATCTCCTTTATTTATTCCTGTTTTCCATTTATACACCTCGATCATATCCCCCCCCCCTTTCGAGAGAGTGCAGATTCAGGGCCCTCAGTCTATCCTCATAGGGAAGATTTCTGATATATGGGATCATCTTTGTCATCCTCCTCTATACGTTTTCCAGAGTATTTATATCCATTCTGTAATATGGTGACCAGAACTGAGCAGCTTAGTGATTTTAATTAGTGAGGAATCAACATGTGTCAGCTTAAGTAAGCTGACCTGTGTCAGCAGTGTTGACCCATTTTCATTACTAGTGAGTTGAATCTTTGTGCTAGTGTTAGTGAAGTGTTAAAGATGTCTTCTCTGAGTTTTGAGCAGCTACACCATCAGAAGGCAGAGCTGAAGGAAACTAGGAAGGGAATACTGTACAATTTCTTAGAGAGAACAAAAAGATTCATCTTCAGAACAACTATGATGATACCAGGAATACCAGCCACAATGAATATAAAATGGTCTGTAAGAAGAAGTAAAGCTGAAAATGAAGAATGGTGAAGAAACTGCTCTTGAGACTTCCAATTCCTTCCATACTGCAGGATGAATGTGAACTTTCTGTATTGCTGGATGTATGTGATTTACTCATAAAAACAAAACAAAATTAACTAGTGAAGGTAATAATGTTGCTGTAGTAGGTAATTCTCAGATTAGATTTATGGATGGGGCTTTTTGTAACAGGACTGGTAATGGGAGCCACCCTATTATCTACCTCAGCACTGAAGAAATGATTGGGAAGAACAGGAGAGAATAGCAAGAGGTAATAATCAGTATGATCTTATTTTTGCAAACAAGGAGTCCCTCATAAATAATTTAGAGGCCATCGATGAGCTTAGCAAACTTTTAATGTTACTACATGGAAGTACCTAAGGACATCACAGTCAAGGATGTCGATTTTCACTCAGTAGATTACAATGTACCAAGGGAACACTTGGCTAATGCAGAATGGAATAACTTAACCAATGGTTTCTTAATCATAATTTGAGATATATCAATGAAGAGAAATACCAAAAATATATATTCCCAGACAGATATCAGATCAAATAAGAATACATAATCCAAAATGAATGAACAGTAGATTAACACTTCTCTTGTGTGTGTGTGGGGGGGGAGGGAAAGAGAGGAATTTATAGGAGCATTAATAGAGAGGGACACCTTATGAACTATTACGTTGATATTAAAAAATGTCAAAAAGAGATAAAATCTAAACAAAACTATAAAATCAAATCCAAAAGTTTTCTTTCCTGTATTGTACATACAGCAAAACAAAGACTGGAGAAAAGTTGCATTTTTTTAAAACTAACTCTGGACAGTTTACTGGTAATGTAGAAGAAATATGCTTGATTTTTAACAATTATTTCCTGTCAGTCTTTACATAAGACACAAATAAAATCTGAGGAAAAGTAATCACATAATATCAGTCACTAAAGACAAGGCTGGTTATTAGCCTTTAAACTGTCCAAACGTAGATCTACGTTCACGTGCGTAGCACTCCGACCTTGATTTTCCCCATTTGAAAGCAAGTAAAAAAGAAGTAGATCTACGTTTGGAGCCCCCCACACGTGGACGAAATTGCTTTGGACGTTAAACTTTAGACCAATAAAATATTTTCAAGGTTTTTTTAAGTTTTTAAAGACGGTTAGAAAAAAAAAAAAAACAAGGCAACTAATGCGACTTTATTAGTTACAATTTCCCCCCCCCCCCGGGGGCATTTCATCAAGCTAATTTTTAGCTTAAAATGTCCTAGGAGCAAAACAGACACGTATCTCTTATTTTGCTTTTTAAAAAACTTTTTCTAACAATGGAATTAATTTCAACAATGTTCAACAAGTGAATTTTAGAAAACCCCACTAGTTTTTCCTTTAAATATTTTACGGGAAACAGGAATTGCCCTGGTTGTGGAAGAGGCTGATGTGTTGCTAACAAAATGGTCGGCATTTTCCAAACCCATCAAATTATAGCAATCACCTAACTCAATACTGGATAAACTATTAAAACGGTTATAGCAGATATAATGGGGTCATATTAATTTACATAAGTGAGTCGCAACACACTCAAGGGGTATTCCTGCCTAACAAACTACAGACATTTTCTATAAGGGCATTTGAGAAAATGCCCAAGAAAAAAAAACGATTTTGTTTATTTAATTTCAAAAAAAGACTTTCAAAAAGGCCCACGCAGGAGAAAAAAAAAAAACCCGGGCATCTACATGGTTCTGAGAAAAGTTTTCTTATTAACCAAAGGGAAAGGCTAAAATAATAGCAAAAAGAGTTTGCAAAAAAACGAAATGAATTTGAAATAAAAGGCCCAGTACAAGAAAACATTTCACAATGAATAAATGGTTTTAAAAAACCGACAAAATGACAAAATAGGCATTGTGAAAACAGGGGTTTTTTTGCCTGCCAGGGGTTTCTTCCCCAATACAAAGAACTGTTGACAAAAAGGGAGCTTGGGTAATCAGTTCCTCGCCTGGAGTCCCCAGGCCACGACCAAATAAAGTACAGGAAGGGTTAGGAAAACATTTGTCAAAAACTGGACAAGTTTTTCCCGAGAGGGTTTTAGTCATACAAGACCCGCAGCTGGAGCTTTTGTCGTCTGCCCAGGTCTTCCGTGGCTTACCAGTCCCCCCCCCTTTTAAAAAAAACTGCTTTTATCCATTAGAGTATACGTTTTTTATCTTGGTCGGGATATGCGCGTGGGGGAGCTTCTATACTGCAGGCAAGCAGGGAGGGGTTTTAAACCCAGCTTGGAAAAAACTTTTCCCAGAAAAAAGATCCCCAAAAGGGGGTTGACGTCTCTCATTTACACCTTTCTATATTAATGACCTAGAGAAGTAATTAAAAGTGATATGAGGAAATTGGCTGATGAAAAAAGAAATAGGCTGACTAAAGAAGTTAAAGTTACAGACTTAGGGCAGTAGTCACAAAAGGCAGCTTAATAGTATACATTAGTAACGTAGTGCCAGTGTAGTATCGTAGTGTCTGCAGTATGTAGTAGCGTAGTGTCTGCAGTAGTAGTAGTATAGTA